GAATTGGAACTCCAAGAAATATTAATGCGTCAAAACTTTTTTATAAAAACTTTAGTGATTTTTCTAAATGATGTTTTTATTTTAATTATTTATTATTTAGTGATGTAATTTATTATAAATTTATTATTATTATAAATATACAAATTCGAATTTATTACGACAAAGAATTGACTTTATTAAGAATTGACTTTATTAATGAGTCTAATCTCTAAAGACTTCATGTCTACCCAAGCTTCCACTAATTCTTTCGTTTAGTAAAGAGAAATTTACCAGGGTCAACGTTGAGGTTACTTCGCTTTAATAAAAGTCGCATAATATTTGTTCTTTTACTTTAAAATTGTTTATTTTATTAAACGTATATTATAAGTTAATATATAATTTTTATTTAATATACAATCGAATACATATTAAATTATTATTTATTATTTTCGTAAACATTTTTATTGTAGAAACAAATAAAGGAATTGACTGCTATTACATTCTGCAGTAAGAGAAATTTGAGCTTTTCGCAGGCAACTCTGAACCTGAAAACTTTTGAAACCAGATGATATCATCTGACCAAAATCTTGTTGTTTTTTATGGATTGTCGAAACTATCTTAAACGAACGAGATAAAACAACCAAAAACCTTAAAACATATAATTGAAACTGAGTAGGTTATAAAATATATCGATAATTTAAATTTTCTTTTTTTCTTTCTTCTTAAAATATTTATTTAATAGGATCAAGTTAATAACCACATATGTCTATATGAAGGCTATGTGACTTACGTTTTAATATTCTCTTCAAACAGAAGAAACGACAGGAAAATCGATTCTAAGAGAATACATCATAAACTGCAACCGCGCATCAAGGATTGGTGAGGCTCTTAATGATCGGTGGATTTCTGTCATATTTCTAAGTGAAGGACGAAGGATTCTCACCTTCTGACACGATATCTCTTTTTACAAGAAACGTAAATGCGGTTAAAACTATCCTTCATATGACGACCACGAAACAAAACGTAAAAAATTAATAGTTAGTAAAAAAAAACAACATAACAAAATTTAACTTTATTTCAAGAAGAAATTTATGCATTTCTAAGAAAGAACCACTTGAACTTTGTGATTTTTATTTTACGAACTAAACTTTCGAAGAAAGAGGCCCTACTCTCAAGAAATAAAGTGTAAATTACAAAAAAAACAGAAAATTCGTTGGTATTTGTATTGATAATCATTGTTTTTAATGTTTGGTATTACAAATTTATTGGATTTCGGAGTTACTAATAATTACTAAATATAGTTTATCAAAAACAGATCGTTGCGCAGGAAGCAACAATACCAGTATTCTTACGATAACTATAAATAGAATCATTATAAAACATAATATATAAATAACTTGAGAAATAAAAATGAATACTTTAGTATTATCTCAATTCGTGTTTATAACAATGAACCGGTAATGATTTTAATAATTTAATAATTTACTAATATTTTACTAATATTTTGTTATTTAGTAAACAAGTTGACGAATATCTCAACGACTGGTATGAGAGAAAAAAGAAAGAAGAGGAAGTTTGTCCTCACTATGATCATAAAAAAGAAGTACTTAAGCTTAATAATCATTATAATAAACAAGTTGAAGATATTACATTTCGTTTACTTGAGGATCAAAAAGAAGAAAGACAAAAAGAAAGAGAAGAGAGAGAAAAAGATAGAATTTTTATTATGAAACTTTTATTATTATTTTTTTTCTTTATTGTAATTATGTTTATGATGTATTGTGCTTATGAGCAGAGGATTTTTGGAACTTTAATTTCAGCTGTTGTTAGTGCTATTATTAAGTATATTGAGAGTAAAATTTAAGATTATTTTATCTTCTATCAAACTCAAAATAGATCAAAATAGATCCGTAATATAATATAATTTTTTTT